GTGGCAGAGTCATACAAATATCTTAGCATCTGGATTCATTTATTGTTCGCTCTTTTGGACATTTTCCTGGAGTATGAATCTGAACTATCATTCTAAAGCCTTTCCAAAATTCAGTCTGCTTATCAGGTTGGGAGTAATCCATTTTATGGGTAAAATTATTCGTGATAACTATCCAGAGTAATTAAACAGATACGGTTCAAGAATACCTATTACTGGTTGATGATTTCCATTAGGTATATGAACACTGTAACTCCTATACCATGTACCATTGTGGACACTGTTCTTTGATATCGGCGACAAGCACTAGTTTAGGGCGGTACTTACTCTTCTACCTGGCAATTTCCCAGCTTTACCCACGGTCTGCCTTACATGTTGTGAATAGTTTTGTCAATTTTTTTTTCGACCAGCTGCCTGCCTGACATCAACCCTTTTTTGGGAATGAATTAATCAGTGATGTCTAAATACTCTTAGACAGTACATATCACTCGGAAAAATCACATTGGTACTTGCAAGGATCGAACCCGCGCCCTTGTGCATGAGAAGCGGACCTTTAACCACTTTAATTACTTTAGGGCGGTACTTACTCTGGTAGGTACTGAGTTCAGTTAAGTGACAGCACATTTTAATATTTTGAGTTTAACTTCTTCTGAAGTCTATCTTTATTAATTCTATAGCCTCGTTGTTAAGTGCCTGACGATCATATGTAGTGGCATCAATCATTTTACATCTCTTCATTATCTCTGCCAGCGTCTCTTCAGTAAGCTTCGATGTTCCTCCAAAGCTCTTTGGTCGAAAGTAATTTGTCTCAACTCGTTAACTAGCCTGCACAAGATCTGCCATGGCTTCAAGCATATTGAATCGATTTTGTAGCTAAGCTGAAAACTTTAGTATTCAGCTTCGACTGGGCAGATATTTTCTAAGACTCTCCTTTATTAGTCGCGCTGTTTCCATGTTCACATTTATATTGGGAGTATTTCTTCTGTTCACCTTATCAAACGATACGTCACCTTAACCTATACACTTTATCTCTATAAATAGCACAAAATATATTCATTCTATACAACTTAAAAACATTCAATTAAACAATATCCTTTATGAGATGCTACAAACGGACATACATATAAACTGAAAAGTGAAACATATTTACTTTCTCTCTACGGACAGGGTTTAAACGTTAAGTGCACATCAATTAGCTATTAAGCTGTATGTCAAATAATTTAATATTAATTTAATACGTTGGTATCGAACTTCGCCACTCCTGGTCCGAGGCGTGCATGTTATATTGGGCATTAAGTTTAATGTTCAGAGAACACTTGACACGGGTCTATTGAATAATGAAATATATCCGCAGTTTAGTTAATGACCTTTTCCGCAGCGGACAATCCTTGATGTTGCTTTTACAAATAGTGTTTGAAAAATAACTGAAATAAATATTTACAAAATATTCATTTAAATTTCAACCTTTTAATAACGTGCAATTAAGGACTTTATAGTTGATGTTTTTTTTTTAAATTAAATTTTTAAATTAAGGCAAACGGCAATCAAATATTATTCACTCTAATTTTTTCAAACGTTAATTTTTTTCAGTATTTACAGAGTTAATTCTTATCGAGAAGTATCGTATCATATATTATAAAGGAACGTTTTGCAGCTAAATAGAATGACGTGATGAAATGGAAATATTTGAATAGGGTCAGTCATGACTTGAAATGGTTGAACATAACGGACTTCTATAATCATAACCTTTATATTGTAGCCACTTACTGTAACGATAAGATATTATGATTTCGAGATTCATTAGTATTATCACATCTTTGGTATATAGTTACAAAACGTTTTCGGTTTTAAAATTATTGTTACTTTTTGTGACAACTGCAAATACTTTTCGCTTATTAAGTCATAAGGTGCAATCAAAGAAGTATATTTGAAATTATTTTATTTTTACAAATTTAATGTTTAAAGAAATTTAAGCATATAATATCTTTGAATTAAAGAATCTTATTTCTAGTTTGAAAAAATATACACTTTTCAATCTTCAGAGCTTTGATGAATTTTAAAAATGTATTTACAATCTTAAAAGAAAAAAAAATATAATGAATATGAGAATAAATTATTAGTTAATTATAAAATTGAAGCTGTAACCTTGAATATCCAATAATTGGCAGCTGATGTGTGAGCTGTCATTAAACCAAACGCACTTCCAATGAACACGGAACTGAGCTAATGATATTGGTACTAACACAACCACAACGGCTGCAAATATATGTTTATCGTGATTTTCCATTAAATTCATGCGATGTTTAAATAAAGTGAACGTTGATTTTATCATAACAGATACTTCAGTTTAGTTACAGAATATTTAATGTGCTAATTTAGTACATAATTTTAGAATAAATCATTTGAAGCGACTACTTCTATGCATATTTACAGTTAAGTTATAAATCAAGTCAGAGGCATATGAAAAAGTATAATATAACTTTGAAATACAAATATATATTTATCTCTGAATGCGCAATAAACATAAATTCGACATGACGCTTGCAACACTCGCATTCGACGGTACCTATCTTAATTATATATAATGGAAGAATCTCGTTAACCTACTTTAATTAGAGACTGTTAATTAGTAAGAGAGTTTTTGTTACAAAAGAAAATATCTAACAGACAACAATATACTTTGAAAAAAAGAATATTACTTTAGCACTTCACAAAATATACGGACCTTATACAATTTGTTTGACATTCAGGTTTAACCTTGTAACATTTTAAATTCTATATAAACGTCATTAAAATGTTTTTCAGCTCTTATTATATCTTTTATATTTTTGTTCTACATTTTGAGATATAAAAATATGGTTATAAGAGTCTTTTAAAGAGGAAAGTTAGGTTTAAATTTCTCAGGTAGGTATGTACCTAGTGTTACATATATGTTTTTGATACACCATATAGTATGTTAAACACAAATTATTAATACCAGAAGTATTAACTACTTAATCTTTTTATAAAAATTAGTTTCAATATTTATAATAAAAAACCGTCTTTTTATTTTAAAATATGTTGTTATTGTTCTACATAATATTTAAATAAAATCATAGTCGTTGTTTCAAGATATTTAAATACATTACAAATAAAGTTTTATTAAAATTCATGAAAACAAAAAGAAGGCGGAAAAAACTTTCTGGCCTTACTCACGGACTCAACCAACTGTCCGAGAATAAAAAATTGAGAGAGTCAGGCTCAGCTAATACAATTTAAAATGACTTTAAAAATACAATGCTTATGTTGAAATGCAATTCAGATTTCCTGTTGGAGAAAACTTATTTCTTTAAATTCTTTAATACCAAGTGTTGCGATATGATAGTAAAAATAAACAGAAATAACATATAAACTTACTATTATATTAGTTGGACTGTTTTTACTAAACGGCTTTTGTTTTTTAATTTTGACACTCTATACAACCACTGATGTACAGACGCTTTTCCAACATAAACCAGAAAAACACCAATATTAAAGAAAGGGATCAAATATTACTGGTGAATTGAAATTCCTTTTATTCGACACGAACTCAGCCCATTTCTCTTTGCCAGAGAATCTATTTCAAATACCTAAGCGCAAACGACATAGTTGATAGTCAGAATGAGTAGAACATTGACTCGATCGGGGACATTGCCAAATCACCGAGAATTCACTATTGTATTTATTTTGTTTGGATATAAGTGAGAGAAATAATGAATACATTTTTGTGCAACCAGATTAATTGTTTTTGGGTACTTTTCCATTATTATATTTAGTAATTTGACATACACTATAAAAATGTTCGACTTATATGTTTGTAGTTAATTTTATATTTGAATTGCTTCAATATTTTTCGATCGTTCAAGATGAAAACATTATGTAGTGTTGATACTAAACCTTCAAGTTTGTTAAGTGTTTGCTAGTTATGATTGTTGTTAATTAAATAGTATAAATGAATGTTGAATGGTTAAAGTATGTTTTTTAGTTTGAAATTCCAAGAGAATATAATTGTTGTTGCAATACATATTTGTAGTTAATAGAGAGATTTGGTTGAGAGAGACAATTACGATCAACTAATTAATTATTATTATCAATAAACGATTAGTTTAATTTCAATTACGGTCAAATGAATGTTTTTTTTATATAAAAGAAAATGGTTGACGAAGAAGTTAATAAATAAGTACAAACAATGTTGGCTGTGAACAAAACAATAAAAGAAGCACAAAAATCCATTTGAGGGACTGTCAAAAGAAAGAAATAAGAAACAAATAACACAAAAAGATTCCCCTAAATAAACTCACAGCAGTTAATTTATATTGAGAAAAGGATATCGATAATAAAATACAGAAATAAGAAGAAATCTGAAAAATAGCGGTCCAGTCCACCCTTTGTCTCTAAGACTACCAAAAAAATATAAAAGTAGTCACTTCGAGCTGACATTAATAATGAGGCTATGTCATTAGAAATTAGAATGAAGTATACAAGGAAAATATAGAGACTATAATCCAATCGAATGACGCTACGAAAAAAGTAGGACACAAGATAATGTTGATTATAGAAATGAAGAAAAGAATTTATTTATTCGTGAGCCAATAACATAATGTTAGTTACTAAATATAAAAAGCGGTGGAAAAAATATCGCCATTGCTAACCGCGTAAGAGGCTTTCAATACTTCATAACAATGTGTATAACGATATTTTACAACTATTAATTTAGTATTACAAATAAGCTTATTAGATACATTGTAAAAACATTGTTTTGAGCCCATAAAAGTACCGTATATATTTAAAAGAAACGTATTTTGATATTATTTCATAACTACGTAATCGCAACGTTTTGGTTCTTTTACAGTAAGCGTAATCAGGGGTAGTCGATGTAAAAGTAAAAGTACTTCTCAGTAGTAGTAGTATTATTATTGTAACAAGTGCTATAAGATATTTCTGGTTCAAAAGACACTTAATATATAAGAAAATGATTGTTATAGGTGTCAAGATCCACTTCACAACAGGTAGTCCTGCGAGACGCTACCCGTGCGCTAGCTGGTCGTTACCGCTGCGAGGTATCGGCAGATGCACCTTCCTTCCATACTCAAGTCCGATCAGCTTTCATACACGTCGTTGGTAAGTGATATCATTAATATTAACATCTCATACATTATTCATAGCTCTATTTTACTATTGTTTATAATAAAAACATCGTGAGGAAACCTGGGCTTATAATTTTACAATTATAAGTTTGAAATTACCAACCCTTCTTGATCAAGCGTGGTGATTAATGCTCAAACCTTCTCCATGTGAAAAGAGGCCTTTGCTCAGCAGTGGGCTACGATAGTTATCGGACGACGACGACTATTGTTTATACATATTAACATGAGTAAATGTAAAAAAATATATGAATAATACTATAGATTGTGAAATAATTCATTGAAAACTTCAAGTCTTAAGCTCTCAGTAACCGCAGTTCTACAGAGTTTCATTTTATTCTTTCTCCAGCTTATTTTATATTCCATTCCGAGCGGCACAATCGGATTTATGTATCTTGAAACTTGAACTACAACGATGATAGCTTGTATACTAATATTTTCATTTAGTTCTTTTGCTTTGTGTTCAAAAAGTATCAAAGTGGTTTATATAAATGCCCTATTATAAATAAGTAATAAACTATCCTTTAGAATTACAATGAAACAATACTTGAAGTAAATTTTTTCTGATTTTCAAATAATTGTAGCAGGTTACTTTAACGAAATTCTCTTTTTAAAATATTTATATATATTAGTAAGAAATCAGTTTAAGGTATAGGAATACAGTTTGCACTAAGGCTACCGCGACCAAGTTTGTAACCACCTCTCACAAACGATTTTCAAAGATATAATTTCTTAGGTATTATATCTGCTACTTGATATTATAACAGCTTTTTTAAAGACAATCAAATTAAATAACTAGTGGTCTTAAATAACCCAACCCACTTCTTATCCTATCTTACAATTAAAAAACAACTTATAGATTTTGTGGTATGTGCTACCGACTGCAACATCTATTTTTTTTGAAAATTTAAAATTAGCAGAAACAAAGTTTTTTTAACGTTATTTTATCCATTAAGTAATGCCAAAATAGGTACTTTTTTGTTATACAAATAATAAACTAACTGGTAACTGTCAAAAACAAGAATCATCTTAAAATTATTTCTTGTTCTTAATTAATAAAAATTATAAAAAAACTTAATGAAATTAAGTGATTTCTTTATTAAAAGTAGTACATATAAATATATTGGATTATATATTTTTTTTAATAAAAATGATTTTAAGCGTAAAAATATTAATTAGAAGTGTTACTTACATATATATATTATATATTTCAATGTGAAACAATTACGATGGTTCAGCAGTGGCCAAAACTAAGCTGTAATAGTTTTTGTTCTATTTGTTCCAAGTTTTATTTATTCGGTTGACGATTTTTACTCGTTTTAGGCGTCACAAACATACACTGTTTTATTTTTCGTACTACTTTCAATTCGTTTTAATAGAGCCGATTGTTTTCTAAAAATAAAAGACGTTTTATTCTGAACTAAAGGCGAAGATTATGTACTTTAAAGTAAATAGATATATTTTTAGTCTTACATATTTAATAAATAATGTGAATAGACGGTCCTAATTACTAAGAAGTTATTAAAATATTCATTTGACATTAGCCTTCAAACGGTTTAGTCTAGAAGCTGATCGTCATAAACATGATAACTTTACAGATTAGCACTTGTATTAGCTATTTATCAAACTTTGTGTATAAGCGGTAGGTACAGAATTTATTTAATATTATCGCTGAGACAAGAGTCACCTCATAAAATCCATTAGATCTCTTTTACTATTAATGAGTTTAGAAATATTTTCATTTAATACATTGTTATTAATTACTAATTTATCATTCAGTACTCTACACATTATATAATTTTGCTAAAATGAATGAAAAACGATGGCTCTTATCTATTATAGTTTTTGTATACCAGTAGATTTTTTATATTTATCTGAACTTATAATGTTTAAGGTTTGTAATTTTGAATATAACTTCAAGATCACAGTTTTCTGATACATTACAATGGATATGGTATAGCAAGCAATTTGTAGTGAACTAAAATGATTTAAGAGAGAAGCCGTATTATACAAGCAGTGATAAAGTTAAACCCTTAATACAAACATACAAAAAAATAAGATGTATAGAATTTACCGATACGAGAAAGTTTTGAACTGTTGACTATGAAAACGTTGCGTTCAATTTGCGTTGCCTATTAAACTATCGTGCCCGAAAATATGAATCAAGACTGTGATTTAACTACTCTTTATATTTAAGAATAACATCATAATGCGAGCACCATCTTTAAGTTTAAAATTATATTTTTACATTAATGCAATATGTTCAGCTTAACACTGGAATTAAAACATACTTATCTTTTTATTATGCCTCATATACTATTAAAATTTATAAAGCCTCGCGTGTTATAATCAATTCATTCGATAATTCTGTAAGCCGTTGGCTATAATGATTTTAATGAAATCGTTGGAAAAAAATTTGCATGCAAATTCGAGTATAAACCCTAAGCGTTATTAAAAATGAGAGATTGAGAGAAAATTCATTGTGAACTCAATAATCGATATTAAGTTATTAAATATTCGGTATGAAAATAGGTTCCCCGGGGATCGTTCATCGGTTCATTTTATTTTGATTACTGAGCGTAATATTGAAGTAATGGATGCGGAAAATCAGTGCCGAATGAATTATACCTACAGGTTTTAAGAAAAGGTCGTAAAAGAGCTTCGGATAAGACGTAGGCTGTTTGTATAGTAAAAATATGGTTCTTTCTTACTTTTCAACCCTAAAACCTACCCTAAACCCTAAAATTAAGACGCACGATACTTGAAAGTGACGTTGTTCATCCTTCTTTATTCTCTTGCCTTTAAGATCTTTTTTTTGTTATGTCGAAAGAATAAGTTCTTTCCAGTCAAAGTATGGTTACGAACCAGTAATTCTCTTTTCTACTTATTTTCTTAATGCGGAATAATATTTAAGACTTGTTTTGTGGATATACTTAGTATTTTTGGTTTGTTATTTCGTTCAAAAAATATATATATTTCTGATTTAACAGATAGCAGTATCACAATAAAGATAACAACTCAGTTAGATGTCATCCAATATTAAAAGAATGATATTTAAATGTTTGAAAGTATATTATGTAACTTTTATTTAATTTATTTTAAGGTATCAAAATAGACCATAGACTTAGTAACGTGTGTAAGTGTAGAAGGGTGTAATATAAGTCCCCCTTGTTGTATTTTCAAGATGTAGTAGTATGGAAATAGAAAATGCTAGCAGATTAACAAAAGAAATACATCATATTAGAAGTAGATAATTAAAATCTTACGATTTGATGTCATGACGCTTTACAAATTGTTAGTTAATTATATAGTTCCGCTGTAAAACTCTGTATGTCCTATATACACGAAACAAAAGTTGTTGACACGAATGTTAATGCAACGAACGAAATATCGTCAGAACGCTTCGATGTTCGTGCCTTTTCATTAACTTATATTGATTTCTGGGTTTCAAACCAAATTTGTCTCTTGAAATAAATCAAAAATATGTTACCATGACCACAAATATAGAATTATTACACACATATATGTGTTTGAGCATAGTGTTAACACATTTTTTAAATAGTATAATTATATTAATTACATTGGATAGATTTTCTCTCCACCTACCACAACATTTTTTCTAGATTTTATAGTTATATCTTAGTTTAAAGAGAAATAACCTTTAAGTATGGCAAAAGATTCTCCAGCCTTATATGGCTATGCCATTTTATGGCCTTATAATATGGCTTTGTAATATTTAAAAAAGGTTCATAGAAGTTATTCATATTCAATAAATTCCCTCAAAGGTTTATAAAACTTCCGGATCATTGGTAAATAGTTTTTTGTTCTTTAAAAAAATTAGTAATTACATTTTAACAGACAGCTGTCATCAAGCTTAAAATTATTTTCTACACTTAATACAATTTGGTATGGTACAAGTACACTACACATGAAACTTTCCTGTTTCTCATACAATAACCTACCTTTATAATATAACTTGCGAACATTTATGACTCAAAAACCATTGACGCTCCCTGTATAGTGTGACGAAGCAAAGTTGGGGTAAAAGTAATAGTTATTATATTTCTTTGTGTAATTTAGTTATTCCAAATGTAAGTAAATATAAAATGTACTAGTCTATACAATACCTCATTAACTTTAAATATCAATAATCAAAATAAGAAACCAATTAAATTTCTATATCAATACCTCCCGATCTCATTAAAAATAAGCATTCTTATCACAACAAGATGCTGTAGATTATTCTAGTCCCGTACGGAATTATCCCACGTCGTACCTCTAAATCACTTTCAACAAATGGCCGGCGATCCCTCAGACTTAATTTGAATATCATAACAATCTGACCAGTCCGAGATCCGCCTAGATCCGAAGACGAAGCTCGACTACATAACGTTGATAAACTGTGAAACGCGGAAGTATGTTGATGATTTATTTACATAAATTCCGACTTCACTCGCAATTTATTGCACCAGCAACTTGAAGGATAGCTTTGTCGATACAAGTGATCTTCAATATATTATTATATTAATGTTGTTTATTCTCTTATGCTTCGAAGAAACAGAAATATTTCAATTTATACGAATATGTGATTTTACATATACATATATGTATTACTTATTCTTAGTTCATGGTATTTTATTATTTTAATGAAACTAATAGTTTTCAGATTATATACTACGCGTATTTTATTATTGTAAATACTACATACTCCCGAAGTTTCGGTTACTTTTCAGCAACCGTGATTACGTGTAGATTATGAATGAAATATTATCGGAAAACTGTTCGTTAAATGAATACTTCCTAAGGCGTTAGATTTCATTATTTTATTATTGTTGACTTGAGTTAAAAATATAGTTTACTCTTACTATACTACGAGTATATTGGGTGATTGCATTTGGGCCTAACAAATATGTATGTGAGATGTTGGCATCCAATTTAGTTCAACGGTTCAAGATTATATGCTATCAAGTGCAAAAT